GGTCTTCCAAACTCCATCCGTGGTCTCTGGGCTAGCGATTACACTTGACCCCCTTCTAGCCTTGTTTGGAATTTACTCAGGGACCCACAAAGTCTCCTCTGATGTCCGTCGCATGTTGTCAGTCACCTCCCTCCTGGCCAGGCGCTCCATTCTGCTCAGATAGAACGGTGCTGCCCTCCCGACCTACAATCAGATGTAATGTCCTGTGTGAGCCTGGAGAAGATCAGGTCCTGTGTTCAGAACCAAGGGGGACATTTGAAAAAGTATGGGGACCCTTTGTAAGATACCTTTCTACTCCCCACTGATTCTATGTACATCCATCCTTAACTGATTTACTGCAATTTCAGTTTGAGAGTAGGAAGGAAAAGGAAAGAGAAAAGCAGCTGACAGCCATGTCCAGCCATGTCCATCTCCTGCTGCTGTTAGGGACGTGTCACCAGCGTCTCTCTGATTATATTGGTTGTTTCCTGGAATGTGTTGCAGATTGAGTCATGATTTATCTTGTTTTTTTGGTGTTTTTCTGTTTTGTTCTGTTTTTTGGTTGGTTTGTCTTTTTAACTTAGTGCAGCAGATCATTCTCTTTATCTACTCTACCAACTGTTCCCAGATGTTCTCCAGCTGTTCTCCAGTCCTCTCCCCCAGCTGGTTGAGGCCGATGTCTGTCTCCCTGAGTCTGGTTCTGATGAAGCTTTCTTCCTGGTGAAGATGAGTTGATTATTCCACTGTCGCTACTCAGAGGAAACTCTGGTTTTGTTGGTTCTATGTTATGTGGTTTTGAAAGTTCTTCACGCCAAAGTGAGCAGAACGTGCAGATGGCTGATGACGTGTAGATAGAGCTGAAGTGACCTGGCAGCTCTGGTCCTCGGTTAACCAGTCGCTCATTGCTTCTTGTCCTGTATAAAATCCTGCGGTTTGCATGAAGCTGTGATCAGCAAAACACAAACGTGCTCACAGCTGAAACACTCGCAGGCTGGTTGTGTTCTGACAGGAACATAAAGCGAAGACACTAAATCAAAGCAAACGCTGACGATCCTGCAGCCTGAGAAACCCAAAGCCACATTCCTCCCTGTTGTTGTCTGTGTTGGTGTGAAGAGTGAAGCTGTGAAAGCAGATGAGGCTGCAGCTCTTACCTGGGTCACTGTGACACCAGCACAGAGCTGCACTGGGAACACTGGGACAGACTCTGCTCCTCCAGTTCATGCACATACTGATGCTTTGTTCATCTGTTGAAGTGAATACAAAAGTTTTTATTCTGCAGATTCCGATGTCTGTTTTTCACACAAACGTTTATCATCATAAACACAGTTTGTTTTTTACAGCAGGAACTTCAGCAAACACCAAAGTTTTGTTCATTTCAGGTTGACTCAGCCTCGTTTTCACTTTCACATCATTTCAGAACTTCTTGGTTTGAGGGGTTTTCAAAGAAATGATCTGAGAGTTTAGCCAACTCATTAAATTATGTTTTAACAGAACAAAGTCATTTAACAGAGATTCACAAAGACAATGTTGTTTTAAGACGTTCTGACGGCTTCCTCACGTCAGAACAGAGACGCTGAGTTCAGTCTCTGTGTTTGTTTCCATCACGACACTGGAAGCAGCTTCGCGCCCGTCTGAGCTCTGAGACGGTTCCTCATCGAGAAACCTCACAACTTCTGTTTGTGACGTGGTTTACAGTCTGAGGAGCAGCTGAACGTTCTCAGCTTCATTCAAAACTGAAATGAGGTCCTGCTGCAGCTCACCTGGCTGAGCTGGCGTCCCAGGTCCAGGAGGTCACGGGTTCGTATCCCGCTCATGGTTCTTCTCTCCTGTCTCTCTCTCTCACTGCACGATCGAGTAACGGCAAAAAATAAATGAAATAAAACACTTTTCTCCTGGTTTCTGAGTGTCGCTGCAGTGTGAAGGTTCTCTGGGTTCTGTTTGTCCTCCGTGATGCTGCAACTGTGGACCGGCTGAAGGCTTGGTTCTGATCAGGTTGTTCAGGTGAATCCAGTCTTTGTTTAAAGGAGCCTCTCGGGTTTATTTCCACATCTTCCATCATCTGATATAAACATTCCTGCAGTTTTTCACGTGAACCTTCACATCAGGGACAGACAGCGTGATGATGTTTCTGTGTGGCTCTCACCTGGATGGAGGATCACTGTTGCCTACCTGCACAGGTGAGCTGATGAACCACTACAATGACAAACCAAAGCATGTTTCATGAAGAGTGTAAAGACACCAGCTGCACTGGCACAGATGGAATAATATCATGACTGATATTTTAACTGTCTGATTCACATTCATTGACGTGTTTCTACGTGATGACAACATGTGAAGGTTTCTGCTACAGACACCATCAAACATCTAACATCAGTATCATCACAGGAGGGCTGCAGGTGGCTCAGTGGTTAGCACCGTAGCCTCACAGCTAGAAGGTCGGTGGTTGGCGTCCCGGTGAGGACACCCGGGATCTTCCTGCGTGGAGTCTCCATGTTCTCCCCGTG